TTTTATTGATTAGATATTGCATATTCATTTTTACAGTGTACAGTTAACTCATTTGAACTAATGCAACTCATTTCTGTTGATCCAACTTAACTGATTTAATTTAAATGAAATAAATTGAGTTGTGTGTAAAAACATCTTCAATAAAATTAAGTGAGGGTAAGGAATTGGTTTGCCATTGTGCTGACAAGAGGGCATGAACTACAGTGCGTGGGCGGCCACTCCTACTGGAAGTTGCATTGTAATGATGAATTTACTTGTGTAAATCTGGACACTGCCTCACTGGAGACACACCCCAGTTTTGCATATCATTTGTGACAGCGTGTGTAGATGCAAAAGATATCGCAACCAAGTGCTGTGGTGATAAAAAAGCCTCTGGATATGAGGCCACCTCAGGAGATTGTGTGTTTTAAAAGTTGAAGCATGCAGCATGTCAGTTTAAGTGCTCTTCCTTTGACTGACATTCAGTGATATTTTCGCTCTGAAGAAGCTTGGGGGTTGTTTGTGGCATTATACAGAATCTATAGCGTGTGTGTGTGTGTGTGTGTGTGTGTGTTTGTGTGTGTGTGTGTGAAAGAGAGAAAGAAAAAAGCGAAAGAGACAAATTGTTAAGGTAAGGGTCAGCCTCAGGGAAATTCCCTCCTGAAGTTCTTGTGAAATAGTCTAGATGGGTTATTTATTAGCTACCCTGGAATTTTACAAAGCAACTTCATGGAAGACTAACGACTTGACTGCGTGTGTATGTGTATGTGTGTGTATGTGTGTGTGTGGTTCAAAGCTGCGACCCAGAACAAGACTCTAAACAAACCTGGTTAGTTTCAGTGGACTGAAGGGGAAGGTCATTTTTTTAAAGTTCCAGGCAATGGTGATTGATTTAAAACTGTGCAAAGCACAACTTCCCCCTTTGCATTAAATTAGACAAACAGAGTTACAATTAGAGATATATTCTGTTAGATAATTAAAATTGGTCCACTTTAGACATTCTACTAACTATAAGAGTCAGCTACATTAGTATTGGTTACTTATAGTCAGTAGAATGTTTGTTGGGAGAAATAAAGTGTCGGCAGATATTAAGCAGAAAGTCTACTAATACTCTAATGACTTGTAGTTGACATATTCTTGCAAATTTACTTAGCTTGTGGAATTTCTAAAGTGGACCATCAAAATAAAGTGTTAACATAACAGATAAACAGAAAAATGCCATGCAAAATGCAAAAATTCAACAGAATCGTGGCTCTAGTGGTCTCACACTGTATTATACGCTTGATACATTTTGGCGAATAAACTTGTACAACATCATACAACACAATTTTATTGTTTGCTCTATGTATAACGTGATTAATAATAATAATGTGTTTAACGTGATTCACTTCAATCTGCATGAATTTATGATTGACTGGACCTGTGAGAGCCACATTGATGGGCATTATTAGTCAATGGCAGATTTACCTGTACCGCTTTAATGAAGCAAAGATTAATGTTCATTGTACAACATTGCATTGGACAATGTGCTTTCAATTAATTTGACCTATCTAGAAGGCCACTTTTATGTATGTTGATTGGAGGAACTCTCAAATGGGTGAGATTATTCAAATTTGACAAATATTTAATTTTTTTTTTTTTAACCTTCAAAATGGTCTTCGTTTCCTGTTTACACTTCTGGGCTTCGGGGTCTATACGACCCCAACAATTGATTGAGTAATTGTACAAAAACTATACATTTTTAATCATACAAATAATATATCATTTGTTTTGTTCACTTCTCATCTATTCATTAATGCAGTGTTTTTGGAGATATAAAGTACTTTTGTATCCATATCACACAATTCCTCAACTACACCATTAGCTTGCATATGATTTTTTTTTTTTTTTTTTTTTTATGATACATTGCATTTATGCTCTAGTACTAGGCCTTCATTTCTGTGTAAAAAAAATTCAGATTTATGCCAGATTTTTTTTTTTTTTGACACTTGAACAAAATAGATTTTTTTTTTTTTTTTTTTTCAAATTTCCCATTCGTTTCAATGTGGGGGGTCATATTGACCCCGAAGACCAGAAGTGTAAACATTTTTTTTTTACATACCTTTAGAACAACTGAATCAAGCCCAGTTTTGTGTGTGTGTGTGTGTGTATAGATAGATAATGTATGAAAAGTCACAAAATCTTATTCCACTGAGATGAAGGGAACCTTTTTTTTAAGTAAATGTCGATTGGGGTCGTAACATACCCCATGACCCGATTGAGGGCTACGTTAATTAAATTATATTTTTTAAAATATTATTTTGATGTTAGAATGAAATAAAAAAAAAATACAATCTCTGTTTTCTAAATCTTAATGTTCTTAATTTCTTAATTCATTCATGCATGTATGAAAATAGTACTCTAAAATAGACTCATGCACTCTAAAATAGAGTTATAAATGTAACTCCAGGGATGAATGTCAGACTTAAACTCCGCCCCTTTTTTACAATTGAACGTAAATTCACACTGAGCCAATCTGTCTTCATCTAATAAACAAGTTACACTCAGATGTGTCACAATACTGAAGAAAACATCAGTGCAACTTCCGTTACGTCGCGATTTTAAGAAAAAGTGGCAACCCACATAAACACTATAGTAATGTGA